GTAAGGTGGCTACTGGGCAGCTTCTCTAACACTTTGCTATATAACAGTGCTTCTTCACTGCTTCGTAAAGTAGAAATAAAGGTGTCTAGGTACCTCTACATGTTGGAGCATCAAAGATGCATTTCAACTGAAATACCCATTTTCTTATTGTTTACATCAATTATAAATCCAAAAGAATTTTTCAAGGGTTTTAAAGAAAAACCTTGTGCAAGTGTGAATAAGCTCCTACTACAAAACAGAGAACCTTTGTGTTCTACATGGTTAAAAAAAAAAAATCCTTCAGAACTTTCCTTACATGGTTAAGTAACAATATGTAACACTCTAGCGTTGTATTTGAAAACACGTTATCTTCCTAAGAGCATTAAATCTCACACTATTGCAATTTAGACCAAATGATGAGATGCTCACTCTAACATAGAATACACCAACATTATGTCATAGCTATGTCCAGAAACTAGGTTGAATGTTATTAAATTAAAATTGCAGGAAGAAACCAGGGGGTGTCTTTGTCCCCGAAGAAAGACTTCAACACACTGAGTCTTATAAGAACATCGGAGAGTGGACAGCTGGTCCAGACTTTGTTTCATGATTCATCTAAAGCACGTCACTAAGATTATACAGTTTAGTGTTCCCATAAATTGTTTCCAAAATAACCATGGAGTGTCAGGCGTTTCAGTAATCCCACCTGTGTCTGGATCTAAATAGTAGTGAGATAAAAAAATAACAGAGAAAGGTAGAACCATAAATAGACAACACGAAATCAGAACACAAACACAAAATAAGCTGCTTTTTATTTCAATAAAAAAATTAAACTCAATCTTAGCAGAAATAGGAGTCACACATAGTATCTGGCTATAAAAAAACTGTATGTACAGCGCAAGAAAATAACATATTACAAAAAATAACTTTTTGAAAAACACTTGTAAAATGTTGGCTCTCGAGAAGAACTCAGAATTTATTTTCATGTTTACATTTTCTGTATAGTGTAGAGCAATCCAAAATATCCATATGCTGGCAGAACATGAAGCACAAACTAGCATGTCCAGCCACCTGCAGAATTAGGCAGCAGTTAAGGAGGGAAGTCTGAATCACTGTTTTAGACGACGTATCAATTCTGTCCGAGCACCACTTATCTTTGCAGAATGTAGCACTATAATCTTGTAAAGCTCCAACAAAGAGACAGTCTACGCTCACTTGAATAGCTATCTTTTTCTTCCTATCTTGATTTTCTTTGCAGATCATGGCTTTATTGCAATGTCTTGGGTAAAGACAAGGTGAGCTGTTGCCTGGATGTTTCAAAGAACATACAAATTACAACCATATTTACACTACTTCTGCTGCTTATACAATTTCTCGTTTAAGAGCAGTACATTTGATTGACATCAGTGCATTTGATCCCATAATACAGTAACAATAGACATCTTGCATAGGTTTACAGACTTTGCGAAAGGCTAAGAGTGAATTCCTAGGATCTACTTTTCAAAGTTACAGATTTTCACGTCAAATGCCACCAGTGTCTTGTCACACAGCTGAAAATTGACTTGAACATAGCTTTATCCCCTGAAGTTCCTAACCCACTCTAACAACTTTTATGCAAGAATCACAAAGGTTTAAACATGGTATGGCCAAGCTAAAACACATTTTTTTTTCACTTTTGACAATCTGTTCACTGAAGACCAAAATTTTTTAAAACATTTTTTCTTTTTAGATCAGAAACTGTTACTAGCTACTCCTCAGAAACATTAAGTTGATGGACATTCTAGGGCAGCAGATCTGATCTAAGCTCTCAATCTGTACTTTGAGTTACAGGGGCTGGTCAATTTTGTTCCATAGGAAAAAAGACTTCCTAGTCACAGCCCATGCTGGAAAAGGCTCATGTGGAGCAGAGCTTGTGTTTTTGCAGCTTCTCACCCTTTAGGATCCAGGTACATAGTATGGTCATGTCTAGGGCAGTAGACAGAAAACAGATCAAGGAACAGAGCTCTAGAGAAGGAACCTGAAGGGCAGAGGGATTATAGACATTAACCGGGAAATTTCTTGCAGATTGAAGAGTGATGGGAGATCAGCAAAGGTCAGCTCCTCTGCACTGGACTGGTCCAACAACTTGAACTACGGAGGAAAGCTGGAGCTGTGCTGGACCAGTATGTCTAAAAACGGCAGAGACACTATGGACATTAAGACTGTATTCTGCAAAATGCAAGGAAGCCAGTGTTATGGCCATGTGTGGATACAGGGCTTGATTTTTTACATAAGGGAAAGTGTGATAGTGAAATAAAAAAAAAAAAATCATCTTAGAGCTGTGAGATTACATTAATTTATCTGTACATTATAGCAATACTTATTTCAATACGTGCTTCCGCAGTACACAGATGCCCAGAAAAACATTCTGGTGACTCTAAGAAGGGTATTTCACATTCATAAAGGGTCAGAGTGTCTTTCTGGCCTTTTAGCAGCATGCTTTTAGCTGATAATTCCATTAATTATACAGCTGCTCTTTCTCACAGTGGTAAAAGCAAGTGTAAAAATTCTGTCCATTTGCACTGACACTAAACAACCTGACTCAAGTGGCTGTTCACAAGGCATTACCATCACCTAACCTTATTGCTACCTAAGGTTAAAAAAAGGGATTAATCTTATTTTTCAAATAGCTAAGCGTGAATCAAAGAAATGGAAAAAATCATAACGTGAGGAATTGCAATCTTCTAGACGATTCTGTCTGGACTATTAGAAACTATGCTTTTATTTCACAGAAAGCTAAGCAAAACAATCTCCTTTGTTTTTCTAACCTTTCTTATTAGATACAGCCCTGAAAATTACCATAGTTCTGGAAAGCAAACCAAGTCTCTACAAGCACAATATTATAATTTCATTAATACTTTTAAAACTCTTTCCAATGACAGAAAAACTACCTTTTGAGACGCTATCACCACGCAAAAATAACGCATCTGTAATATGAAATGAATTCCTTTATCCTCAGGAATCTAGATCTGAAAATTCCCTATTCATCTCACCCCATATTTGCAGTTCATTTCATTGTTGCAGCAAAAAAGTTGGCAATTTAAAGTGGCTGGTACAGCTGCAATTGATGGGGTCCTCAGTGACTACTGAGGATTGGCATGTACTGGACCAGTTAAGAGCCAGCCAGCCACGGAGCTCAGCACTCTCCAGCCCCTCATACTCTGAATAGGCCTCCTTATTCTGCAGAATTCCTAAATCTGTGGCAGAACAAGTCTATCCTTTCAGCTTGGCAACGCTTCTAGTTATCTCAGCTCTGAAGCACCTTCATGTGCTTGCTCATCTAGGATTATAGTGCACTTCAGGCAGAAGAGAGTAAGGAATCAACTAGATGAGTTAAAAATATCCTATCCCAGTAAGTGATACCATTACATCGCCACTGAATAGCCTTCTCTGGCCTCCATGGAATGCTAATTTTTTATCTCAAGTTGTATTTCATTTAAGAAAAAACAACAATCTGGAATGCTTGACTTACAACTTGTATATAAATTATTCTGTACTTCCATTACCTTCTGATTTGAAGTTACTGAACATCTAATTTAACCCCTGTGGAGTCTAGGAAGAAGAGTCAGTGCTTCACTGATTTGCAGTTTTGGAGGAAAAAAGCAAAACACCAAAACCTATGATTAGTATGCATAAAGAGTCATTGAAATGGAAACAAAAACATTAATCAGAACCGGTAGAAGTAGGAAATTTTAACAGCGTATTTGAATTCAGAATTATCTACAGCAAAACTCCAAAACCTTCAGTAATATTGCAAAACTCTTATCCTTCTCTCTCTAAATCTTTTCTTTATCTTTGTAATAAGGCTTCACTGGTCACACTATAGGAGATTCTCCTTTAGTCAGAATACAGGGTGCAGCCAGGTTGTTCACAAACTCGAATTCACTGAAGATCTATGTTTAACTGTAGGACAGGAATGAACTCTTTGTAGTTGTGAAAATTGTTCTGTTCTGTATGACTCATTCTGTTGATATGATCCCATATGTTTAGACAGACCATAATGTATCTAGGACTTCTAGAAAGAAAAGTGAGAGGTAATGGCACAAAATAGGATTTGTTTTGAAAAAGAACACGAAATATTCTAAAAGTGCATGCAAAACCTACAGGTCTCCAGAAATTTTAATTCACTGTAAGACAATAAAATATAATGTCTTCAGATGTTGTGAGACAATTTGGAAAAAAGTAAATAGGGTTTTTTCACTTGTTTTCTTCCCCCTTCCCCCCCCCCCCATGTGATTTAGTTTCTAGGACAGTATAGATGTAAATGTCAATCTAGGAAAACTGAATTGTTGTTTGACTCATATCTGTTGCTGAGAGAAACAATACAAAAAGAACTGTTAAAAATCAAATTCTGAGTTACATACAGGAAGCTTTAATTAACAAAGATTATAAGTGAAAAGGATATGAAATACTTGTAAGTTAACTCCCTGTCTCAAACTACTTTTGCATGGACATAGTTCCAAGATTCAGACTTCTTCAGCCTGCTGTTACACAGTGTTGTACAAACACTTGCACCATATAGTAACAGCAAAAGGATGTGCACCAATTTTTCTGGCTTTATTCATTCATCTGAGAGCAAAATTATTATTTTTGTAAGAGAAAAGGCAGTCTCATAATTCAAGCTTCAGCATAAATGACGTACGCAAACACATTTTTATATATTAAACACTTGTTGTCTGATCAACAGCATTATTGTAGCTCTGCTCCCTGTTCCTAGCATGGGTAATTATTGAAGTAGAAGAACCACAGGCATGGAGAAGCAAAAAAGCATGTGGTCAGCTTAGACTTTTTACTCTGAATTCCTTCAAAGAGGAAACACATATTCCTTAAGGTAGCAATAAAGAATGTCAATTTAAAAAAGGTGAAACTCAGACTGTTGGTTTAAATAAGCAAAACCATGTTTCATTTACACATGTGCACTTGTTCCCACACTCTGAACTACATGAAGTAATGGCATAAAAACTTTGACCATTTTCTTTTTCCTATCTTGAATGTGAACTCTGTTTCACTGGACTCTCCTGCTTACAACAAAAATTATCCCAATATGCAGAATCCTCAGGTGCGACTGGAATACCAGATGCAACTAAATCTTCAAAAGTCAATAATGTAAACTGTGGTTGGTTAGGCTCCGTGGAACACACCTAAAGAAAATACATATTAGTATTACATGAATCAATATATCCCAATTTTCTTGCTGCAATATTCCATTTCCAGTTTAAACTACACATTGCTTATTGAAGAAGAAAGAAAATACTCCAGCTGAGACCAATGTCACTGTCTCTAATTTAGGTCATACAGTAACTAATAGAAGCATGTCACAGGCCACATAGAAAAAGCAAATTTTTATTTGAAACTCACTTCAGAAAACTGAAAGAACGAGGGATAGAGAACGCTGCAAATACCACAGGCTGAGAAAGCCCCAAAACAGGGAAGAAAAAAAATCCACCGACAAACAGCGCTTCATCCTCCAGCAGACACGATTAATTTAGAAGACAGTGTGAGGATTTACTCCGCTAGACGTGTGCCTATTCATACTCTTTTTAATAACAGCAATTACCAGAGTTGTGCATGCTTCTCTCAAACCCAGGCTGTCTAAGGACAAAAGTGGTCCCAATCAACCCACAATTCCCAGTGCTAAAACCAGACTAAGTGCAGATGGAGACACTGGAGAAGAGAGTGTCGTGGTCTCTGCATTAGTTCCATCACTCAAGCTCAACATGAGAAGCTCAACATAAGCTGGCAATGTGCGCTGGCAGCCCAGAAAGCCAACTGTATCCTGGGATGCATCAAAAGAAGCGTGGCCAGCAGGTCGAGGGAGGTGATTCTGCCCCTCTGCTCTCGTGAGACCCCACCTGGAATACTGTGTTCAGCTCTGGCGTCCCCAGCACAAGAAGGACATGGAGCTGCTGGAGTGAGTCCAGAGGAGGGCCACGAAGATGATCAGAGGGCTGGAGCACCTCTCCTATGAAGACAGGCTGAGAAGTTGGGGCTGTTCAGCCTGGAGAAGAGAAGGCTCCGGGGTGATCTTATTGCAGCCCTCCAGTATTTAAAGGGGGCCTACAGGAAAGCTGGAGAGGGACTTTTTACAAGGGCATGTAGTGATAGGACAAAGGGCAATGGCTTTAAACTGAAAGAGGGCAGATTTAGATTAGATATAAGGAAGAAATTCTTCACTCAGAGGGTGGTGAGGCACTGGAACAGGTTGCCCAGAGAAGCTGTAGATGCCCCATCCCTGGAAGTGTTCAAGGCCAGGTTGGATGAGGCTTTGGTCAACCTGGTGTAGTGGAGGGTTTCCCTGCCCATGGCAGGGGGCTTGGAACTAGATCTTTGAGGTCCCTTCCAACCCTAACCATTCTATGATTCCTTCAGGAAAAATCACATGTCAAAGAAACAAAGGTTTGGTTTTTTGAGCACATGTTACTGTGCAGCCTGCTGTATGCTATCGGCAAGTGTAATTCTTTCCAAACAGCAAATAGTACAGCTGCACGAACCGACCCTGCAGACAGCTGGTCCTTCTGACTTCAGCATTTGCTCAGCAACACATTCTTAATGCTTAGTATTTGATAGAATTCAGCAGGGCTGCTCTGCAGTGGGGTTATTCTGTCCATCACACAAACTGACACATTTTTGACGCAGACTAAGGTACTGTAAACTTCCTGCGGAGCACATACTGGTGTCTGATAATCACAGAATGGCTGAGATTGGAAGGGAGCTCTGGGGGTCATCTGGTCCAACCCCCCTGCTCAAGCAGGGTCACCTAGAGCCAGCTGCCCAGGACCACATCCAGACTGCTTTTGAACATCACCAAGAACAGAGACCCCGCAACTTCCCTGTGCAACCTCGGTCACTCGCACAGTAGAAATAGTTTCCTGATGTTCAGAGAGACCCTCCTGTGTTTCAGCTTGTGCCCACTGCCTCTGGTCCTGTAACCGGGTGCTAGTGAAAGGTGTCTGGCTCTGTCCGATTTGTACCCTCCCTTCTGGTATTTAGGCACAAAGATCCCCCCAAGCCTTCTGTTCTTCAGGCTGAACAGTCCCAGCTCTCTCAACCTTTCCTTGTAAGAGACATGTTCCAGTTCCTCCATGTGGCCCTTCGCTGGACTTTCTCCATTGTGTCTGCATCTCTCTTGTACTGAGAAGCCCAGAACTGGACACAGCACTCCAGATGTGGCTTCACCAGTGCCAAGTAGAGAGGAAGGATCACCGCACTCAACCTGCTGCCAAAACTTTGTCTAATGCAGCCCAGGATACGTTAGCCTTCTTTGCTGCAAGGGTCAATTGCTGGTTCATGTTCAATCTGGTGTCCACCAGGACCTCCAGTGCATTTTCTGCCATTTGCATATACTGGTGCCTGAGGTTGTTTCTCCCCATGTGCAGGACTTTGCACTTCTCTTTGTTAAGCTTCATGAGGTTCCTGTTGGCCCACTTCTCCAGCCTGTCGAGGTCTCCCTGAATGGCAGCTTCACCACCTAGCATATCAACCACTCCTCCCAGTTCTGTGTCACCAGCAAACCTGCTGACGGTAGACTGCCCCATCATGCAGATCATTAACAAAGATTTTAAATGGGACTGGACTCTGTTTTGACTTCTGGCCTCCAACCATACTTCATGACACTGATCACCACACTCTGGGCCCAACTGTTCAGCCAGTTTTCAGTGCACCTCACTGCCTGTTTATCTAGCACATACATCAGTTTCTCTAGGCAGATCTTATGAGAGACAGTGTCAGAGGTAGACGGTACTGAAGTCCAGGTAGACAATATCCACTGCTCTCCACTCATCTACCTGGCCAGTCATTTGATTGTAGAAGTTTACCAAGTTGGTCAAGCATGACTTTCTCTTGGTAAAGCTATGCTGACTAGTCCTGATGATTTCCTTGTCTTTGATGTGCCTGGAAATGGTTTCCAGATTTAGCTGCTCTACCACCTTTCCAGAGAGCAAGGTGAGGATGATGGGTCTGTAATTCCCTGGGTCCTTCTTCTTGAAGATTTGCTTTCCTCCAGTCTCGGGCACTTCTCCCAGTTGCCGTGATCAACCAAAGATTATTGAGTGTCCTCACAATGACATCTTCCAGCTCCCTCAGCACCCGTGGGTGGATCCCATAAGGGCTCATGTACGTCCAGTTTGCTTAGGTATTTCCTGACCTCATCCTCTTCCACCAAGGGTACATCTTTTTTGCTCCTTTCCCTCTGGTCTCTGGGACCTGAGACTCCTGAAGGCCGTTCCTGCTAATAAAGACTGAAGCAAAGGTGGCATTCAGTACCTCAGCCTTTTCCATGTTCTGTGTACTCAGGGTCTTTGTCTCATTGAGAAACAGGCTCATATTTTCCCTAATCTCCCCTTATCTCCGGTGCACTTATAGAAGCCCTTCTTGTTGCCTTGGACATCCCCAGCCAGACTCAATTCCATTTGGGCTTTAGCTTTCCTAACTTCATCCCCGGATATTCAGACAATGTTTCTATATTCCATCCAGGTTGCCCATCCTTGCTTCCACTTTTGTGTTTGCATTTGGCTAGGATCTCTTTGTTCATCTACACAGGCCTCTTGGCATTTTTGCCTGACTTCATATTCATTGGGATGGAACTCTGTTGAGCTTGGAGAAGGTGATCCTTGAATATTAAGCAGCTTTCTTGGGTCCCACTTCCCTCTGATGCCTTATCATGGACGCATTTAGGTTGGAAAGGACCTTTAAGATCAAGTCCAACTGTTAACCTAGCACTGCCAAGTGCACCACCTCTACACATCTTTTTGTATTGGGTTCACAGGGCAAGGTTTTGGTAGCTGGGAGGCTACAGAGGTGGTATCTGTGAAAAGCTGCTAGAAGCTTCCCCCATATCTGACAGAGCCAACACCTGCTGGCTCCAAGACAGACCCGCTGCTGGCCAAAGCTGAGCCCATCAGCGATGGCTGTAGTGCCTCTATGATAACATACTGAAGAAGGAGTGAGGGGGTGGAAAAACACACAAGAGAAAACTGCAGCTGGAGAGAGGAGTGAGAATATGTAAAAGAAGCAACTGCAGACACCAAGGCCATTGAAGGAGGTGCTCCAGGCACTGATACAGAGATTCCCCTGCAGACTGTGGTGAAGATCACAGTGGGGCAGGCTGTGTCCCTGCAGCTCATGGAGGTTAACAGTGAAAGACCTCACACTGGGGCAGGTGGGTGTGCCCAAAGGAAGCTGTGACCCTGAGGGAAGTCTGCACAGGTGCAGATTTGTGGCAAGACCTGTAGAGAGAGGAGCCCATGCTGGAGCTGTTTTTCTGGCAGGACTTGTGACCCCGTATTGGACCCACACTGGAGCACGGAAAAAGTGCAAGAGCAGCAGAAAAAACGTGTGATGAACTGACCGCAACCCCCATTCCCCATGCCTCTGTGCCACTGTGGGGGAGTAGGCAGAGAAATGTGGAGCAAAATTAAGCCTGGGAAGAAGGGGGTGGGTGGGGAGGGGTAAAGGTGTTTTCAGATTTGGTTTTATTTCTCATTATCCTACTCTAGTTTCATTGGTAATAAATTAAACTGGTTTCCCCAAGTCAAATCTGTTTTGCCCACGACAGTAATCAGTGAATGATCTCTCTCTGTCCAGCTGAAGAGGGGAGTGATAGAACAGCTTTAGTGGGCACCTTGCATTCAGCCAGGGTCAACCCATCACACTTAAATACCTCCAGGGGTGGTGACTCCACCACTTCCCTGGGCAGCCTGTTCCAATGCTTGACAACCCTTTTGGTGCAGAAATTTTTCATAATATCCAATCTAAACCTCCCCTGGTGCAACTTGAGGCTATTTTCTCTTGTCCTATCACTTGTTACTTGGGAAAAAAGAGACCAACACCCTCCTCGCTACAACCTCCTTTCAGGTAGCTGTAGGAAGCGATAATGTCTCCCCTGAGCCTCCTTTTTTCCAGGCTAAAGAACCCCAGTTCCCTCAGCTCCTTCTCATAAGACTTGTGCCCTAGACCTTTCACCATGTTTGCTGCCTGTCTTTGGACAAGCTCCAGCACCTTATCCCACAGGACTCTTCCAAGCAGATCTCTGAGGAGATCAAAGTCTGCTCTCCTCAAATCCAGGGTTGTGAGCCCTCCTTCCTGCCGCCAGGATCCTGAACTCTACCACCTCATGATCACTGTAGCCTGTAGCCAAGGCTGCCTTTGACCTTCAAAACTCCAACAAGCCCATCCTTCTTGGTGAGTAGGAGATCCAGCAGAGAACCTTTCTTCATTGGCTTCTCTATCATTTGGAGGAAGAAGTTGTCATTGATGGACTCCCGGACTGCTTATGTCCTGCTGTGTTGTCCCTCCAGCAGATATTGGAGTGGCTGAAGTCTCCCATGACAACCAGGGCTTGTGAACATGAGACTGCTCCTGTCTGTCTGCAGAGGAACTTACTCACTTGTTCTTTCTGGTCTGGTGGCATATAGCAGACACTCACTATAAAGTTACCTTGACCTGTCCTCTCTTTAGTTCTAATCCATAAACTCTCAGCTGGATCCCTATCCATCCCCAGGCAGAGCTCCATGCACTCCAGCTGCTCTCACATAAATGGCAACTCTCCCTCTGCATCTTCTAAGCCTAGCTTTCCTAAAGAGCCTGTACACCTTGATTGCACCACTCCAGCCATGGGAGCCATTCCACCATATCTCTAGAATCCCAACAAGATTGTAGCCCTGCAGCTGCACACAGTTCTCTAACTCATCATGTTTATTCCCCACACTGTGTGCACTAGTGTACAGGCACTTTAGAGAGGCACCCCAGCATGCTGAGTTCCTGGAGAGGGTTTGAGGGTTTTGTCCATAAAGGTGCATTGTAGACACTTGCTTGCTGAAATGCAAATGCTGGAGGTGACCCCACCTAAGGCCCATTTTGTTGATTTTATTATCTCTTCCTGTCACATCAATGAAGGTGGGTCAGTAAATAGGTGAAAGTGCAAAAACGTCTTCAGTGTTTGAGCAGTAAGCTACTGTTAGGAATAAATGGAGAGACAACAAAATGGTTTGTGTTTGTTGTCACAGCACAGCAAACTCACAGCTGTTCAACACAGGCTGAAAGCAAAAGTTAATTGAGCTGCCTGTCACTTTATATCCTCACACAAGTGACAAGGTGTTGAGACATTCCTGTCCATCCGGCATTCTGGAGATGAGGTAAAGCTGCAGGAACTGTGCCTACAGCCATGCAAGTGACATCACAGATGTCATCACATCATACCAAATATTAACTAAGCCTCAGAGCTGAGTAGATTGTTAACACATCTAGTTTGAACTGCAGCACATGCTTGTCTGAAGACAAGTGTGCTCTGACTGAATTCATCACAAGTCCTGTGAAATTTAGCAAGTGATAGACAAAAAAGATATTTTATAACCTACATAGGAATTACGAAGAACTACAAACTCAGCCATCTTTTGTTGAGACCTGCCTCAGATAACTGTCTAGATGCAGGTAAGAGTGCAGATAAATGTTCTACCTCTTCAATCATACAGTATGCACTAGCAGATACTTTGTTAAGATTCTTAACACTAGAGAATTTAAATCATTGCACTTCAAAGTAACAATTGGTCTTTCCTGTGAATTGTAGGTACTTGCTAACAGGTTGGGAAGAAACCTCACTCAAAGCATATGTTCTGCAAACAGGACATAATGAATTACTCCTGTGATAGAGAGGGAACAGAAACAAGCACTGACATGCTGAAGCAATTGCAAAATGTCTACACGCTCACTTTTTTTTTTAAACTAAGTTGAAAAACACCTCTTTCTCTCAACACACCTGGCAATACATAGAATCCTTTTTTACAGTTTTGTTAGAGAGAAGGCCACTTTCGTTTCCTCCACGTTCCTGTTAGAAGGAGTCCTGAAAAGGCACAATGCAATAGTACAGACATTTTCACTTTGTTTCCATACTGGAGAGTCACAGAATGCTCGTTGCCCTGCTTAAAACGACCTTGTTTTTCAGTGAATTGAGTTAATGAAATTTAGGTCATCACAAATTTAGTCAGTGGACAATGCCTTTGAGACTTTTCTTGATTCAAAGACTTTTCATCATAACTCTTGATACCATGTTTATTCTTTCTATGATAATTTTAAAGTGTGTGACAGTGACAGCGAAGGTCAATACTTAAAAATCCTGGATTTTTGTAGAATACTTAGGTAATTGTCTTTAGAAATAATGGCCATCTTAGTTTCACCTCAGACTGACATTTATCAGTATTCCTGTGGGAAGGATGACATGCAGTCTCACTCGGAACTTAAGTATGTCCCGTCAAACAGAATGCACGTTTCCTCAAAGAACATTTAAGAACTCATTTACCACAGTAAATCCTCAAAGGTTTTTCTAATCTAACCAGTATAGTTAAAAGGTCTGCCTCTCTGTGTTATTCATGAACAGAGGCTCAAATTTTATGACCATGATAGATGTGTGCATGACCACTTTCATCCTTTCATCCATTCATATACATTTTTATTTTTTTTTCTGGTTCCTGCCAGAATCCTTGTATCTAAGTAAAAGAAAACAACTAACCCATTTTCTTGTGAGCAACTAAAGCACCACAGACAAACCTGGCAATTTGTCCCACTTTCTTTTGCTGACTGCCTGGCTACTTAGGCTACAACTTGCCAGCCTGCCTCAAATTTGACTTTTATCGCTATTTTCATGACCCAAGTCTTTGTTAAATTACACAGAAAATCCTGAAAAGCTTTTAAGTACCTTTGTTCCTTTTCTCAATAGAGAGACCACATGGAACGAAGACTAACACTGCTGTTCTTCCCATCTGTTGGTTGCTGTTGCTTGTCTCAAGGGTTATCTTGTCATAATGGTGTTTGAGAGATGGATCTTCTCTGGGATACATGCGCTGACAGTCCCCCATTAAAATCAACTTGGTGAGGTGCCATACTAGTTTAGCAGTCCAGATTGGTTCACTGTCTCCATTCCCCTCTGTGAAACCCATCTTTCCCACATGAGTGCTAGCAGGCTGCGACAAAAATCACTTAATCGTCTCTTGAATGAACACACTGAATGCTGTAACACATATATTCCAGATTTGACATTATCTGTTGCTGACCTCTGAAACCATTTCTCCTTCCCAGACCTTTCCTGAAATAGGCACAACAGAACTAGAGGTAACAGTTCAGTAACAATCTGGTTAATACTGTGCTTAAGATAAGCTTTCTCCTTGGCCCTACATCTGAGATAACACACTTTTAGCTACAGCATCACACTAAGTTTACGTTCAAGTGATTAGTTACCAAGACCTAAAAACATTTCATAATTTCTTACATCAGAATGCTTCTGTCCAAATCCTTCCTGTCTCCCAAGAGCCACTGCAACATGATGACGGCCATCTAACCGGGTTTCCTAGTAAATACGAAAAATGACAATGTAAATGCATTTTCTTTACTCTGTTTCCAGCAAAGACTATATAAATGTTTAAAATATGTTTCAGAACAATAGCAGAACATCATTTAAAATACTTTAAAATAATAACATTCAAAAAGCAATAGTCCTTTTCAGCAGTTTTGTTGGCGAGCTCAAGGATGTACATTAAAAACATGCTAACATTAAAAAGTCAGCACTGGTTACTTTAGATTACCATAATTTCACCCATTTTTAATCAAATTTGTGATCTTAGCTTTCCTTTAGCAGTCCCTTTTAAGTCACAAGCCATATAACCCATCCTAGCAATCTGTTTTCCAATGAGATGAACTGTGAACTTCTGGGAATTATTCTGAAAAACAGCAATGTAAATGTAAACTTAAACCAATGACTCTCACTTGTGGCTTCAGACAGCATGTAAGATCACAACTTCCAATTTCTGACACATTGGTCTGAGCACTGCTCTGTGTAAATATGAATGAATTTTCCTCAAAAAAAAATTTAGCTATATAAATATAAAATTATTAATATAGTTAATCTACTTAATCGTTTTGTTTAAAAGTGTTAGCCTCTAGAAAGGCTAAGAATTCATCCTAAACAATTCATTTCAGAAAACCTACTTTTATATACTGTTTCTTAAATAATGTTTACTCTATAGTTAAGTCATAATCCTGTTGGCTTTTTTTAAAATACATATAAAGGGAGAGAAAACAATGTTTTTCTTGTTTCTTTATCAAAAAGAAAAATTCATAGTTTCCACACAAACTTTCTAAAATGGAAATCAAGAATAACAAAAATTTTACCTAGAAAAATGAACAATTTGGATATCATCATTAATCTGAAAACCAGCTAGTAATCTGGATATTCTCCTGGGAGGTATGACTGAACCTCCACCTTCCAGTTCCTTGGGAAATACTCAAATTGCACTATATTATATTATAAGAAAGCATCATGATGTCTTATTTCCTCTGACAGGTTGTTGGTTGCCTTTTTTTTTTCCCCTTTTAATCTAAGCAAAACATCTTTTAAAACAATGCTGTCATTCTGCATTAGACTTCTCTACAGTTCAGCTACTATATAGGATTTTCAAATATTCCAGTTGCAAGGGCACCATTTCCGTGATTCCCAAACAGCCCTGTATATAAAAAAAAGCATCAAGATGCTCAGCTCAGATCTACTCAGCCCAACTCAGCCAAGACAGCAGCTGCTCTCGTCATGTGTAGCAGCAGTACAGCTGTAGGGTTGGGGGACTTCACTGGCAAAGATGTGGGTGTCTTGGCAGACTGATGCTGGTGTGGGAGTAGAACTGTGTTTTTACTTCCATCTCTTCAGCACCAAAACTGTGCCTATTTGACAGATTTAGCAGTGAACTTTGTCTCCCTCACCTACTTAAAAACAAAACATCAAGTTCATGTTTTACCTTTCTGAAAAGCACTAGTAAGAAAATGACTATTTCAATTTTGTCTAGATTAGAAGAAATATTTAATGCACATGAGAAACACTAACAAATCTGTAATGCCAGTGGTATTTCCCACGACTGCACGAGCTATAGGTGTACTTACTATGAAGTATTTTACTGGGTTTTCCACTCCTTCACTTAGAGTACAAGACTGAAAATAAATCAAGCATAAAGAATGCTACCTCAAGTTTGATGAAATCTAACCATTTGTACACATCATGCACATTTCTGTAACTTCTGCAAAAAATAAAAAAGACTATGAAAATTAGATGTTTGATCAGGCGTTGCTAAACTATATATTTTTAGGGTAGCAGTGTTTTGTGTTTGCCTAGATGGGAAAATGAAGTGATGAAAAACTGGATGTTGTCTTTTCCTCCTTCTTTCATTTTTTTTCCATGTCCAAAAGGTTAAAGACTGATGAGAACAGAGGACACAGCACAGCACATTCACAAGTGGTCTACATCTGGAGTCAGCAGTCTGCAAACAACTGTGTTACAGCTTTAAGCTAAACTCACCGAAATTTCTTTTTGTGAAGTGAACTTATGTAGTACTTCTTGTTTGTGCAACTGTAAATATATTATAAAGACTCTTGCATATTGTTAATAAAATAATTTTTCTGTCAGCTCAAAGCTGCATTTAACAGGCAGTGATTCTTCAGATAATAAGGACCGTTCCCCTGCAGAGACCCTGCCCAATGGATAAGGAATTCAGAAGTTTCCAACTCATTTACTTTAAGTATCCTCTGCAATTACAGAAGAGTTTTCATCATCTTGCAATAAAACATAACAAACTATGCCCTTCATCTTATCTTTGCTGCTTCAGAGAAATGTAATCCCAAAACAAATACGGAAAAGAAGAACTTATCCGACCCCTCCTAGCAGCCAGCAAAAACCTTAAGGTATGGAGTTAATGAAACGTACTGAAACCATAATAAAGAGCGAATCAGCTTGCTTTCTTCTTCATCTGGAGATATTGCTATACCAGTTTATAAAATGAATCCAACTCCTTAAATGGAAATCGATGATTAAACAAAAAAAGAAAGAGGACAACTGTACAGGAATTCCTCTGAGGTAAAGGAGGAATTCTTTTACTTTTGTTTTGTTAAGATTCCTCTCTATAAACCACAAAACATATAATGGATCAAAACTTGTTCTTCTCTGCACAGAACCAAAGTGTTACTAGAGCTGTCAAGCTACAGGCACACTGAGATTTATAATGACCTCATTTCAAAGGCTCAGCAGAACGACGTGTCTGGGATTCAAATCATGCTGGATTCACTCAACAGACAGCTCATGAGGAAACTACCTTTCCAGCCAGCAGAACTGATAGCTGTGTAAATCCAGTTGGATTAACTAGTCTTAGCGGTAAAAGTTTTCATTCCTATTTATTTCTGACAATATAAAAGGATTAACTTCTCTTACTGAGAGTGAAAGACTCGATTACAGTTGCACACCAACACCAATTACTAAATATGTTTCAGATTGAGCCAGGTAATCTCAGTTTGAAATTAATATTCTGGAAGTAATGTGTTTGCATATAGAGAAACCAAGCAAATATTTGTTGTGAAAAAAAGGTAAACAACTATTTGTGTAGCAACAGTGATGCCAGGTGATTCTTAATTCCGAAGTGAAGTTTAGGATAAATTAGGTGCTTCCTTTATAAACTGGTTGTTTCCAAAATTGAGGTAGAGAACAAAACAGAAGTGTCTTATGTCTCATTTAAGATTCTTCTTTACTATAGATTCCAGTCAGTGCTATCCAGCCATCCTTTCTGATCGACTGTACAAAATTGGGACCAATAAAGAAAGAAACATGAATACACTTAACATTTTGCAAATCAGTAATTAGGATTTTTTTTTCCACATACATATATATATCTGTAGCAGATCTGACATGATAAATTTATGTTAGTCTCATTAAATTATAAAACTTGTTATAACTGTTATCAACTTCTTTCACTTTTATTAAAATTAACTAGTACTTCATTCTAGGTTTTTTTTTTAACGGAAGTAAATGGAGCATATAGAATTACTCATAATAATAAAAATAATCATCACTATCAGAATAATGACTCCATCCTAAATTAACACTCTGACACAAATATTGTATCACTCCTCACTGGGCTAATAAACTTTTATCTAAACAAATTCACCCTTTTAAAATGAGCAAAACACGTACTGCCTATGTGAATAAAGCACACTCAACACATATAGCAGACATATCTTAAAATTAAATTTATGTTTTCAAATGAAGTACTGTATTTTCTCTCTTCCTCCTTGCAAAACAGTTGGAGGCAATCTGAGCAGCAATCTCTAGAGTACTGTATGGAAACAAATGCCTAAAGCTAAATCGATCCATCAAGATCAAACAAGAGACTGTTTCTGAGCTTCTATCCAAGCTCAAAAATATATGAGGAGCAGAATAGGGGAAAGACACCTTGAACAAAACTAAACCTTTGGTAAAGGGACAGCAAACGGTCAACTACACAACAAGGTAGATCATTTGGTATTCGCGAATTCGAAATAAGAGAAAAAGAAGATTATTTTTTTTTTTTTAATGTTCACAGACAATTCCATCTCCAACATGAACAGGCTTTGCACCTGTAGTGAACAGTTACAGAATATCTGAACAGCATCAATTTTGATTTGCTGTGATTCACTAGTACTTCTCTTGACTTTTTGTCATGACAAGGATAAGGTGGTAGATCTTTTCCTAGTCTTTATGCTTTTAAGTTGTTTTTTCACATTACATGGCACTTTCTGAAGGAGAATTCAGAACATTTTTCTGTAATTTAAACGGGTAAAATCCTCTTTATTTCTCTCATCTGTTTTTGATAAATTAGATTCTCTTTCTCTAAAACGGAAGTAAGACAGTCCGAAATATGTGATAATTGGATTTTAAACAGCCTTGCTCTCTTCGCTCATCTCCTATGATAAAGATATAAGCGGATCTGAAAAGCAAAACTGTGAGGTCATTATATTTTTTTTATTTGATAGAAAAAGTTCACTAAAGCAAACTCAGCACAACAGGGAACACAAGGAAGACACTACACCAGTAATATGCAGTCTTACAGGTGATTCTTAATAACTTTTCTTTGGTGACTCTTCCAGATTTCTCAAAATTAGTATTATCAGTTAACAAATCGTTTCAAGAATTTGGCTCAGGGGCAAATAATGGAACAAAAAGAGACTTTTATAAGTAAGAAAACAGACACAAAATAAAAAGAAATTTGGAAGAAGACAAAAAAGTGATGCTTAATTTTCTGCTGGGGATTGGTAACTGAAAAACTAATTATTTTTTTCAATTTCATTTTAATAAATGTTGATATTTAAATGAAATTATATCCCAAATGAGCCTATATTTAAATTAAACTTGATAATAAATCCTTTCTTTGAAACACTACCATCTGCCTCATTGTAAGGCTGTGCTCTTGGGAAGCAGGGGGGCAAGCACGGAAGAGGAGACATTCCTCAGTCAAAAATTAAATTAAGCTTCTAGTAGTAATTACTAAGTAAAATCAAATAATTATTAAATATTTAAGTAATACAGGGAGCTACCTACATCATCCTCTTCAGGCTTAGTCAATCAACCACCAGCATGTCATGAAAGACTTAAAATTAGGAGCTCCTGAAGTCAATTGAAAGAGGTAGATTCTTCCTTGACAATGGTGTACTGTTAGCATTAATACAGAAAGCATTCTATTACCAGATCTGTCACAGTCTTTCCTAAGATTTTCTTTTGCCAGTCTATAATTCCAATTAGTGAATTCAATGACATACTCAATTCCTAGAGAGCATGGCAATATCAATAAGAGGGCTGATTTAGTACGGGTAGACTTTTAAAACAACACAAAACCAAATGTGTCCACGAATGCTGAAAGGAGTGACCCATGAGGAGGACAATTTATGCCACAAGTTAAATGTTACTGGTACATTCATTATTTTTTACTACATACATACCATATATGTAGTTTGTATACTACACAAACCATGCATATACTAGAAATTTGTCATTTAGACAAGCTCTACTGGAACAGCTGACTCCAATAACGTAGATATTTTCAAAATGTAAATGCACAATGGAAACTGAGTACTCTTACTAAAAAGTGCGCTTGACCACTTTGTGAAATTGCAAAGTGTGTATTCTTTGAACTGCTAGTCAGCTATGTACCAGCTGCACAAACTTTCAAACTGGAACAAGGTGCCCTTTACAGACAATTTTAAAGTCACAATGTCTTTTGCATTTCTTCCTTTAAGTGGTTGACTGAAAGTGCCTCTAAGTTGTAGAGAAATGGTATTGTGATTTATTTAATATTTTTTAAAGCTTGGTTTCTTAGGATAATTAAATAATTTGAGATCATTGCATAGAATCATAGAATCATTTAGGCTGGAAAAGACTCTTAAGATCAAGTCCAACCATTAACTTAACACTCCTAAGTCCACCACTAAACCACATCCCTATCAGTTCTTTCTCTCTACACACTTTAAACTACATTAGATGCTGCAACATCTATGAGGAGAGATGTTTTAGTGATAAGTCTCAGTAACTTCCAAGAAGGAAAACAAAAGAAAAACCCAAATCCCAACACTCAGAAGCTGGAGCCCAAACTAATGTTTCAATTAACCAAAGGCAAGTTTTTTGCATCTCTCCATTCCCAGAGACAGCAGCCAATCAACACACTGTAATTCCAAATCCACAAAAGCACGTTTCTACCAGCTTGTACGGCCAAGAAGTAAGAAACTGAAGCGAGCTGAAGACACCTCCTCCATTTCAAACATTCAACACAAACATGAACTGATGAGGTTAGTTAATCACTAGTCTCATTCTAGACCAATTAACAAAGAACTTTAAAGTCTTAGACACTGTTTAGAAGTCAGGTCTGAACATGCTTCAGTGGACTTTCTGCATGCCCTAGGATGAATTTCATAGAAGGTAACAAATACACTCCAGATATTGAAAAAATAAAAAGCCATTACAATGAATATATCTCTGGGGCATTTTTGCGATCATCAAAAATACTTCAAAATACTGTGGATTTATATCCTAAGTTTTGATTGATGTATGTTCAAAGTGGTTATACAGAATAAAAGTGCGAAGTTGCAATTAAAAAAAAAATCAAATGTGCAATACAACCATAGGGTGTTGAGACTGTTTTCATTACTGAAAAAATAAATTTTTATTTCTTACCTCAAATGTCCACTCTTCTTCTTTATCTCCATCCAGAAGCATTTTTGTCTCCTTATACACCCTCCCTATTTCCAGTTGCAATGGGGACACATTAAATTCGATTCTTTGCAAGTTAAAGCCAATTCCGACTCCAACAGCCTTTAAGAAGCTTTCTTTTAAGGCCTAAAACACAGAATAAATGTATTTTATTCATACTGGCTGTTTTCAAACTGTTCTATAAACATTACTTCTGAGCAGATACTGTAGATCAAATAAATTTAAGACTTATACTACTGTAAATTTGAGGGTAGACTGATGCAATTATCAAGAGAAAAAGTTATCAGTGTTGTTAATAGGTAGCCTAACTTGCTGCATTACAACAAACATGCCACCTGAATTTCCTAGTGGCACATACAGATATGAATTCTTCACCTTGTTCTGGGCATGTGCTTAAAACTTAAAGTCATAAATCCTTCTAGAAACGTCAGCTGTGCTATGGTTCTCAAAGTTATTCTTACATTAAAAAAAAAAAAACACTAAAATATAAAACCCATTAAAATATATCTCCACATGAACAAGTAACTATAAAAAGTATAAATTTTATCATAATGAAAATAATAACAAAATATGTCAAAAGAGAGCATGCAGGTTATAGCACCACAGTCTTTAAATAGAGGAAGAAAAAGTACTACCCAGTGCCGATGGAACATATCCAGCTGCATCCACTCACTACTCATAGACTCGATTACATCCCACTCTGTTTCAGTAAACTGCCGCTTCATGATGCGAAAGAAATTCGGAACTGAGCTACTACCTATAAATTAGAAAGAGATATTTACAGAAATTTTAATAGAGTAGTAATAATAAGTAAATGCATTACCTCATGTTATTGCTCCAGAAAAAACTCGTAAGAAAAAAAAAATTATGAACGAACTCTGCTCTACAATCTGATTTTATACAGCCTCAAAGCAGTGATGACTATTCAGGATACAATTCTGCTATTCCTATAGCAGAATGTCTGCATTAAACACATGACATGAAAGTCATAAACGTATTTTCAGCATTCTCTAAAAAGGAAATTATTTAACCAGTACTAATTTTATATATAAAAAAATATATTCAGCTACTAAAGTAGCATATACAGTCTTTGACATCTGACAGCTTGATCTAGTAACATTTTATAAAACGGCATGCTGTTTGTCAGGATTCATCAAGCTGTTCTGTCTCCTGCCCTTGGATGCTGGGATATGAAACGAACACTTTTTAATAAAAACACATGTAGAGATCCAATCTCCCAAATTTATCACATGCATATTTAGCCTTTTGGATTTATTCTGCAACAAAAACTGGGGTAGGAAGATGCCCATAAACACAGTAAGAAAAACATCAAGAAAAAAATAACCCACCAAACCTTTAAATCCTTAGATTAAATTTGAGCCTCCTGCAAAAACAGCACAGCTGTGTAGCACTGCAGCAGCTCTTCGGGGGCTATACCACTTTTCCCCACTAGTCTAAATTTCCTTTTCTGAAGACACTACAGACTGTGTGGTTACATTGATCAATGGCATGTCTATTCTACACTGGAAACTACGGACCTCATTACACGCTTGGTAATCACCCACAGCCTCTATCATTAATCAGCATATCACGCAATCTGTCCTTGCAGGCTTACAGCTCACTAAACAGACAATGGCAGAAAGAAATCTAGTTTCTTCAGTTGGTAGAGACAATTCTACATATTAAGATAAAATTTCTTAATAGGTTACGCAATGTTCTTATTAAAAAGAAAATATTAGTCGTATTTAATCCAAAACAGTCTCTCCTCCCAATACCACACTACTAAAACACCATCACTAAATAATTACTTGACAAAGATGCAGATTCTAACCCCAGCTCTGCCACTGATTCTATGAGTGGCTATGGGCAAGGAACTTCCCTTCTCTACACTTGCGTTGCCCATCTTAAACCAGGGATAAGGGTATTAACTCTTCCCTATAAAGTGGTTGTCTTCCACAGATATCTGAGCTCTACATAACAACAGGTATAGGCAGCAGTAATAACTGATCTGAACCATCTAATGTCACACTAAAGCACACATTCAGGTTTTGTGACAATTTCCAGATCATATTGAAAAGTGTAAACTGACATATTACACACATCACACAAGACATGGCAGTGACATTTCAGAGATTACCTCAATTTCATTTATAGACTCAAGTGAAGAAAACATTTTAAGACAGAAATTTTGCTGACAGTTGCAGTAGTCAGCTAACAGAATGATCCAGAACAATCTAAGAACAGAACTAACTTTCTTCTCTGGAGAAAATTATGATACTCAAAAAGAAAGGCCATCATAATGTCAAGTATATTTTGATGGATTACCAAGGCAAATGAAAAAAACATCTACTTAGACAATCTAACTTCCCTGAAACAACAAAAAATAACAAAAAAAATGTTCAACTTTGAGATAGGTTTCAGCCTTTAATCTCTCTGAGTTTATATGGCCCGTTTTATGATCAAATAATTGTGTTAACACCTGCTCCAAACAATCCACTTTTTTTTTTTCTTTCTTCTCTCAAGTTTTAAGACACCAGTGGTGAGGCACCAGCCTCTTCAGATGATTCAAACTACAAAAACATGCAAGAATGTCCTGCTGTACTCTTCCTCCTCCATTACTTTCAGAGTTCTCTTGCTATCAATAACCCAGGGCTGTTCACACTACCAGAGAAGACTATCCAAGACTATCCACACTTCAGCACCTAGAGGTATATAGTGCCTCCTGCATTGTCAGTCCTTCCACAATCCAAATCTTAACGTACGGTGAATACACTTGATACTTGAACTGTTTAGTATACCAAGAGTATATCAAAGCCATATGCTACCTCCTTTTCACTCCTTACTTACCCATTTTTTGTCCTAGGTTTCTTCAACTATTCAGCTATCCTTCTCAATGCTTATGTTCAAATTTACACAGTAGTTTCCCCTCCACTCCAGGCATCCATCACGTCCCTCCTCTGACAAGCTCAGGCATCACTTTCTCCTGAAACGCCCTCCCCTCCTGTTTCCTTACAGCACAGTTGCTTTGCTCTGAGGAATGAATTGGATTAGAGGAGCCAGGATTATTCTCCACAAATTACCAGCAGTACCGCAGCCTGCCTATTCCATTTCTCCATATTTGTTTGAAAATCAGAGAAAGATAGATTCACGGAAAAATTTAGGTTGGAAAGGACCTCTGGAGACCATCTGATTTAATCTTCTGTTGAAATAGAACCTTATCATAGGTGACTCGTGGCCCTATCAAGCAGAGCCTTTCACCCCTTCTTTGGGCAACTTATTCCAGTGTTTTACTGCTCTCATGGTAAAGAGTTAGGTTTCTTTATCCAGACAGAATTTCCCCTGAAGCAACCTAAGCCTGTTGCCTTTTGCCTTGCTCCTGTGCACCCTCTCATGAAGACAGTTACCTACATTTTCTCTACAGCTTTCAGATAGACTGTGATTAGATTCCTCTCCTCAGAACTTTTCCCTCTTCAGGCTCAACAAACCCAGCTCCATCAACATTTCTATATAGGTCAAGTTCCCCAATCCTCTATAATCTTGGTGGATCTGCACTAAACCCTCCTCAATGTTCCCATGTCTCTCATGACCTCAGGGACGAGTAGGGGACAAAACTAGAAGCAGTAGAAAGTCTTCTTTTAGATGCTACCTTTTCTAACTTGAGCAAAAAAGCCTGAAAAATACTCACCGCAATGTTAGATCTTCCTTTGAAAGAATGAGAACAAGTCCCATATAGCAATCATTCAATTGGTTTTAAATTTAGATTTCTAAATTACCTCCCATTTGCAAGCTGTTTCAGAAACAAACTCACCTATCAACAATTATACAAACACTTGAACTTATTTCTGTGACTATTTCAATTAATTAATAATCCAAGTTCTAGTTTATAAAATAATTACATTTCATTAAAAATGCACTTCTGGCTTTCATGTCAAATTATTCCAGTATGCATACTTCAGCTATTTCGGATACAATTTTGTATTACACATGGTGTGGACTATATACGATCACAGAATCATTTAGGTTGGAAAAGACCTTTAAATCATCCAGTCAAATCATTAACCCAACACTGCCAAGTCCACCATTAAACCATGTCATTAAGCACCACGTCTACACATCTTTTAAATACCTCCAGGAATGGTGACTCCACCACTTCCCTGTTCCAATGCTTGACAACCCTTTCGGTGAAGAAATTTTTCCTAATATCCAGTCTAAATCTCCCCTGGTACAACTTGAGGCTATTTCCTCTTGTCCTATTGCTTGTTACTCGGGAGAAGACACCAACACCCACCTCACTACAACCTCCTTTCAGGTAGTTGTAGAGCGTGATAAGGTCTCCCCTGAGCCTTCTTTTCATGTTTCATCATTTGAGGCACAGGGCAAGACAGGGCAGCAGTTAATCACTTTTCATTTGGGTCTTTCTAGGAACAACTGAGCTTCCTATTCAGATGATAATTTTCTAAGACCTTCTTGAATATTTTTCCTCCTGTGTTTGTTGCCTATATTTTTCTCTCAGAGAATTTTAGGAAAAGTGCTAAACACTTTTGGTAATCTCAAAGCCTACTCTGTAAAATTTAAGTAAAGAAAGAAAAATAGTGCTGCAATATTTTAATGATCTCCTTGAAACCACAATATTTCCTCTAAGGAAAATACAAAGACCACATAACAGAATACAAAAGAAACTGGAATGCAAGTTGGAACACTGATAGATTCATTCATAGATTCATAGATTTCTAGGTTGGAAAAGACCTTAGAGATCATCGAGTCCAACCATCCCTAATCCCCATTAAACCATATCTCTAAGTAGATCATCCACCCTATTCTTAAACACATCCAGGGATGGGGACTCAACCACCTCCCTGGGCAGCCTATAGGAAATAAAGGCAAGGCAAAGAGGTATTTATAAGGGTTATCAACCAGACCTATTAAATTATTCTTAAAAGTACTTTTAAAAGTTTCAGAGAATCTTCCCCAAGACTTGCAAAGTATTCACCACAAAAATGATATCATGATAAATGTTCTCACTATCAGGTTTTGGCTTTACCTGTGGACTTAGTATCTGCACTTATACAGGGCAGTGGCTTCTTTTCTACAAGATGATACCAATTTTCTAAGAGAAATTTGACTGCAGGTACACGTATGTATTTATGCAGGTGGAATTCTGGTACATAAATGCTCTAAAATCCTTAATGCATGCAAACTTCAGTATTTTCTAAGAGCAAATTCTACAAAAATTCTCTAAAAATATCTATGAATTTGGAGAAGCATGATAAAAATTAACTGACAGTAAAAACTTGAACAGATTCTCTGAAGAAATAAATGCTTTTATTGTAACGCACACATATAATACAAATATTTCCAAGAATACTTTCTATTTGGATGTTTTCAGTGAACAATTATAAGGCCAGACACCCAGTGAAACTTATGTAATTGTACTACTGTTTCTTATTTAACTCGCAGCAGTAAAGAAAAAAGATTCCTTTAAGATATGCCTATACAGGTTGTAGAAAACTGCACATCTGATCTCCCCATGCTTCTAAACATCCATATATTAACAAGCTCCAGAGCAGATGCCACACAGCTGGGTTCAGACAGTACTGAGCCTTTGCTAATATAATCCAGCACTCTCTTCCCAGTGTTCACAGTTATTCAAAAAACACTTAAACGTTGAGCCAAAAAATTAGCTGGGTATAGAGCTATGTGGAAAAATTTAACTGAAACACTCAAAACTGCATTTCAAATATTCCTTCTTTTAAGTCA